AAAGAGGCACATGAGGTAAGCCAAGGAGAGGAGGAGCAGCTGGAGGTGAGCAGAGCATGTCCCATCATGCCGTGATGAAATCTCATTCTTCTTCCAGGGAGAAGAAATTACAAGCACCTACTTTGAGCAGTCCATGGTCTGGGTCCCTGGGGAAAAGCCCATTCAGAACAAAGAGTTTCTGAAGAGCTCCAAAATCTTTGACATCTGTAGAAACGTGACCATCTACTGGATCCACCCAACACTGATAGCAGGTACAAAGAGCCCAGTCTCTCCCATTCAAAGTGCCTCGCAGGCAGCGGGGTGCACAATAGCCTACCTCACCAGAAGCAGAGCCGCAGCTGCCACCACTGTCCCCTTTCCCCCCACAAAATTTCCCTCATTGCGAGCTACCAGGGAACCTGTGCCTGCAGCCTAGTCATAAACCTCAGACATGAAAAAGGTTTTTGTGCCACCATGAGAGAATGTGGACAGCTTAATAGCAGGAGCTGACGTTTCTCCCTGCAAAGTGTTCGTCTCTCTCAGCTCCCTGCGCTTTGCAGAGTGGCCACCCACCTTGTAACAAAGAAAAAAACCCCTTTGTACCTGCCAAGAAGCCAGCACTGCTGGAAACTGGGACACCTAAATTCTTGTCACCACATGAACATCAGAGAGTGAGAAGATATCCTATTCCACTCACATCTAAATCACACGACAGGGTTGCCACCTCCAGCTGCTGGCTGTGCATCCCTGCGATCCGCTGGTATGATTGCACACACTCTCTAACCCGCTTCTGTCAGAACAATCTAGTTTAAAAACCCCTTCCAAGGAAAAACGTCGAAGCCGAAATTGCTCATTGTGGCCCCACACACCAGCCGCAGGGAGCGGTGGGCGACGGTGCAGGGTGCCCAGCTGGACCTGCATGTCCAGCCCCGCACCAAGCAGGACGGGCTCAGCGGCAACTCCCCCGCCGCAAACCAGCCATGACGCACTCCCAAAATGCTTTGAGCACCTTGTTGAATAAGGAGCAGAGTAACAGAAAAGCCTGCATGCTTGAAGCGAGGGCTGCTGCAAGTCTGGAGGTCGATTCGAAAGGCATCTGCTCTCTGCAGAAGCTCTGCTCACCTCCAGGATGGGCTAGCTGAAGTGCTCCCGTTTAACCCCACGTCCCCCCATAGCCAGTGATAGCAGAAAGCCCCTTACGCAAGAACAAGCCCTAATTGCCTGCACCCTGGAGTTACATGCTGAACCAGCCGTGTATGGAGATGAGTAAGGCTTTTATATCGCTGTCTCTTGAGAAGCAGCTGCCGCTGGCAGTCTGCCCTTCTTGCAAAGTTGTTGAAGTTGTTGATGGGTTTGAGTGGCAGCAGCGCGCCTCGGGCATGCAGCCGCGTGGTGTGCAATTACGAGCATGCACAGCCTTTAGCATCGCATCTCAGCAGCCCACAGACAGAGTGTCTTGACCGGTATAGGTACCAGAGGCTCTTCAGCTGAAAGCTGTTGATGGTCCTGGTAGCAGAAGAGTATGCAATGTGAATGGAAACTGCTTTCTCCTTTCTGCTTCATCATTCTCTAGCACCCACTATGAGACCCATTCTGTGGGAAAGCTTGAGTACAAGAAGTTAATGTCATTGTGGGACTTGAGTAAACCAGCAACAGGTGCCGTAGCTAGGCCTCATCTGCCCACAAAACATGCTGCTTCCCAGGGGTGACAGGCTGGTGCTCTACAAAAGCCTGTCCCTGCCAGCACAGCCCACTGCAAGGACATCCCTCCATGCACCATAGCATCAGGTGGAGCGCACAGACACCACCCACGGGCAAGGACCAGCCCTGTGAGCTCAGGCACAGGGATGGGACAGGTCACATCTTCTCCGCCATCCTCCTCCATTCATTTCATCACATAAAGCCCTTTGTCCAGGCTTGCATAGGAGCAGGAGGGAATGGAGTTAGACCTGGTTTGCCGGTGGAGCTGTTCAGGCTGGGGCTGTTTCCTCCTCTTCTTGTACCGTGGCACCAAATTTTGCTGGAGACTTTAATGCCTGCTGTTGCTTTTGTCCTCCTCCTCCCTGCTCATTGAGAGTGACGTTTGGGCTCTTCCCATAGCTCCTGAGCTCGCCGACCTCAGAGAGGGAGAAGGTGACACTGAGCTGCTTGTAAACAACCAAAACTGGCTGGATGGGGGGAACGAACACGAGGTGGAGAAGGATGCACAGCCAGGGCCCAAGCGCCGGGCACGGCAGCTCACTGAGGAGGATCTGCCCGTCAATGACTATGTGAGTGCAGGGAATCGTGCCTGTCCAGGGGGGCACCCCAGGGGTGCCTCAGCACCCCATGCTCCTTCGCCATCGCAGGCTGGTGGAAAGCAGGGAGGAGAAGGGCTCCTCTGTGCTCTCCTCACTGCTGCAGCTGCGGGGAGGCAGCAGGCTGGCCTGGAGGAGATGGGACAGAAGTCCGGGTACCTACAGAAGGAAAGTGCGGGCTGCCAGCAGAGAAAGGCCTCAGTCTTCCTCCAGGGTGGGCATCCCACGGCGAGCCCTGCGCTGCTGGTCATGCCATTTCCCATGGCCACCACAGCACTGCAAGCCTCCAGCCCTGCGTTGGTGTGGGGCTGCGCTCCGGGGTGCCCTGGCCATGCTCTGGGATGCCCTGGCATTACTCCAGGGTGTCCTGACCAAGCTCTGGGGTGCCCTGGCATTGCTCCCAGGCTGTTTCCCTTGCCCTTGCTCTGACGCTGGCTCTCTCCCTGCAGACGGAGAACGGGTTGGAGTTTCACCCCTTGTGGGACGAGCGAGGCTACTGCTGCGCCCAGTGCCGGCGCGCCAACCGCTACTGCAGGCGGGGGTGGGGGCCCCCCCTCGGCTCCACAACCCACTGCTACCAGGGCGGGAGGGTGATCTGCCGGATCATCATGCCATGCAACTGGTGGATAGCACGAATGCTGGGCCGAGTCTAGGGCAGCACCCCAGCATCCCTGGAAAGGGGGGGGACTCACTTTTTCTCAGGCGTTTGCTAGCCTGCTGCGTTGCGAGCTATCTTGATGTATCCTGATGTAGCTAAAGCGTAAGTAAGTCGTTATCTGCTTCCAAGCACGTGGCCTGCCCTGCCGCACGGGGGGGGGGGGGGGGGGTGGCTGGGGGCTCCCCAAAAAAACCCCCAGGGGGCTGGGGATGGTTATGCTTGTCTGTATCACCGTCTCGCTGAGCACCAAGAGGCAAACAATAAATGTCTTCTATGAGCGATTGCAAAGAAAATGGAGAGTCATTTAGTGTGTCTGTGATGCTTAATGGCTCTGAGAAGTGATCTAATTGCTCAGCTACCTCATCACTAGCATCCATAACTCAGGTACCAGGACTGCCAGCGCTCACCTAGCTGGGAACGTGCAAAGGTACCAAATTTGCTCCTGACATTGCTGCTAGCTGTGTTTAACACATACCAATGGCCACGGCCAGCCAGCCTCCAAGACCGCTCTCATCCTCGCGCTGGCACAGGGGGTTCAGTAGTTCAGCGGCACCTAACAGGCCCTGTGTAACCACCGTTTCCGCCGGGTGCTGTTGTTCCCTTCGGGAGCGGTGTGCGGTGACAGCAGACCCTGCTCGGAGGCTGCGCGAGGCTCATGCACAGGCAGTGTGGCGGCAGGAGCAGGCACAAAATCCCAGGCAGGATCCCCGCCAGCAGCCTGAGCCAGAGGGAGAGGAGGCGAGAAGGGCTCCACGTGCAGTCAGCAAGACCAGCAGCCAGTAGGACTAACAGGGAGGCAAAACCCAAGCTCCAAGAAGTAAAAAAAGTCCTTGAAACTGTTGCCAAACTTAATAGGACATTCAGCTTTCAGCAGTACTGAGGGCTAATGGCCAAAATTCTCAATTTTATGTCTTTTGATTTTTCCCATTAAAACATTTGCTCCAGTAAATGAGGACACAGCAGCAAGAAGGAAGATGTGGGAGATGCTAAGTACTTGGCAAAGGGGCAAACACATTGTTCCAAAATTGCTCAGCCCCTCGGGCTCTTCCCACGGGCTGCCAAGGCTGCTTGGGCACATCGAGGCGTTTCTTCCACGTCCAGCCCCCACGCGGCCCCTGGTAGCTCACGGAGGAGGCACTCATGGGCCCCCCCAAATCCTCTGCCGGGGCTCTGGCCAGTGGCCCAGTACCTCTGTTTCCCAGATTACAGAGCCTTGGAGATGGGAAGCACTAAGCTTGCCAGTAGCCCTGAGATTATTCAGTCTTAGGCAAACGTTCAGCTGAAGAGTGAATTTATTTCCTCTACTCCATATATCAACAGCACAGTTAATAGGCTTAGACAAGTAACAGAAAACCATCCGCAGGTCCTTTGACACTTTAGTTCAACTCCTCAAAGTCCCTTCTCCTTTTCAGCACTTACGTCACTCTCGAAACTAGGAGCTGACCTGGAGGCACGTGGCCGCTGCCAGCTCTGGAGCCCTCACCGGGGCTCCGGTCGGTTCGAAACCTCCCCGCAAAGGTTTCTTGAAATCCATGGTGTCAGTGCTCGAGCCAGATCCCAAATTTTAATTCTTATCCCAGGGAACCGACTGCTGCCAAACAGCTTGGAAATGCTGACGTCCCTCAAGCGTCAGGAGGCACAACCATGCCCCGGTCGCTGGGGGAGCACAGGCTGCCAGCAACCGGCCCTGGCTCATCAGGGAGCAAACGTTTCCTTGGCATGGGCCAGGGCTCAAAACTACTTATGTAATTTCTTTTTCTAAAGAGAGCTCCATGTCGTAAAAACACTCGGAGAGACGAGCCTGCGCCGCCTTGCGTACAAAGGAGAGCGCACGGGCTGGGGACAGGATGCCTCCACCGCAGGGCAGGGCTGGGTAACGCTCACATCGCTTTCCCTGGGTGAAAACCTCAGAAAGGCCGTTTGGACACTTCCAACAAGCCTCCGAGCACCCTCCGCTGCTTCTCCAGACCTCCGGGCCCGCAGACAGGAGCGGCAGGCCAGGCCTGCGCCCTCGCGGAGCACAGCGTCCCCGGGACCTCCCCGGCCCACCTTGCCACACCGCGGCTCCTCTGAAGACAGGCAGCACATGTTTTAAGAGCAATTTCTTCAAACCCTGTTCACAACCATTCTGACAACGCGTTTGAAAGGCTGGGAGCAGCCAAGAGCTCCTCCGCAGCAGAGCTGGCTGCACAGCTACCAGCGCTCTTGGGGACAGCCAGGCATCTTTGACAAGTTCCCCTTGAGATAACCCCACTGAGAGGGGGACTTCCTAACACGGCACGAGACACATGAAAACTAACAGGCCAGAACTGTTATGGGAAACCAAAGCTTCGGTGCAAGCCTGGCCGCGCTCACGTACTGACTCACTGGATCCAGCCAGCTCACCAGCCTCACACCCATCTGAGGGCACTCTGCTGCCTGTGCCACCGCAAGAGGAACCCAAGCTGGGAGCTGTGCCCCCGGGCTGGGCCTGCCTTCGCCCCTCACAGCCACCTGCTCCTCTCTGGGACTCCCACGGACGCCCGGCACCAACAACACAACTACGTAATGACCAGAGCAGGTCTCAGCCCAGCTGCAAAAGCCACCTCCTGCAATGGTGCGCTCTTGCAAGCTGTTCCTCCTGCGCCCGCCTGCGCTGGGTTGTGCAGCTCCCGAAGAACATCTGCCCCGAAGCTTAGTGCGAGGTCTGGGGCCAGGCTGGACACAGAGCTGCACGTCAGCTCCTGCCATCAGGCACACCGAAGAAGCGTTTCAAGGCTGTCTTTGTTTGGATTATTTTCCTAACGGTGGGGAACACATGCATCCTTTTATACCTGACACTAAATCCTTTCATCCCTCTCTCCAAATTCTATTTATTAGGCTTTGTGCTGGTACCAGATGAGCACTTCCATCAAAAGGAAACTAAATGTGAACAACTCGGTGCTTGAAATCCCCCGGAAAGCAACCCTCGAGGAGTTAAATGGAGCACTGAGCTGGCTAACAACCCAGCAGTCCCCCCTGCCACAGGCTGAAAGGGGAGCAGCGATGTTAAACAGCCTCCTTGGCACACGCGTTAATAACCCAGTGTGACGCTCCCGTCCCTGCCCGGGGGGGCTGAGGGAGACGTGTCACTGTGCCTCACCTCTGCCGAGCTCAGCCCTGTGTCACGCCCCACCGCACGCCACGGGAGACCTGGGGCATTCATAGCACTCGCCGCGTCAGCCCCGGGTCCCCGCGCTGATC